TCAGGGCCTCGGTCGTCCACCCCTGGAGCTAACTTGTGCATGTTCAGCTACTGCTCCCCACCCCCGAGGCCGCCCATTTCAGAGACCTGGGGTGGTGGAAGCACGTGGGCTTTGGAGGCAGCAGATCTGGGTTCAGGTTCAGACTCCACTACTTGATAGCTAGGAAACCTTGTGTGAGTCACTTAAGCTCTCTGACCTGTTTCTCCAGTTGTAAAATGCAGACACACACCTGCCTCACCCACCTCATGAGGTTGAGTCAAGGATCAAATGAGGAGAGACAGTGACCAGGAGGCTCTCTCTCAGGGGTTGTTTGGATGGAGGTGACAAGAACGATCAGCATTCTTCAGGCAGCAGGTAAGGAGTTCATGGCTCTGGGGCTAATCCGGAATAGAGTTTTCTATGTATCAGGATGCTTTGGGTTGCAAAAAATAGTAAATCCAACTCAAACTGGCTTACACAGCTGAAAAATGCAGAGGCAGATCCAGGCTGCAGGAGTCATGTGACAGGGTTCTGGCTGTGTTTCTCAGTGTCTCAGGGAGTCTGTGTGGACTGGCTTCCTTCTAGGTAGGAAAATGGTGGTTGAAGTCCCAGGCCACACATTCCACCATCCCTAATAGGAGAGAACTGCTTTTCCCCTGTCATCAAATGTCCAGGGCTTCTCTCTCTTTGGTCTATTTTAGGCCACATCCTTGGCTCTGAATCAATCACTGAGGCTAGGACAGACCATGCTGATTGGCTTAGGCCTGGGTTATTATTAAACCTGAACAAATTACTCAAGCAGAGGGATGGATTAAAATGATTGCTTTAGGCCAATCAGGGCCCAGCCTGGAGGTAGGAGGGGGGACACACCCACACAAGCCTTTTGGCTGCCACAGCTGGGGAGGGGAGGAATGGATGCCACAGTGTCCACTACAGGTTTCTAGAATCCACCATTGGAGAGAACGTGGTGATTTTGCCTCTCTAGCATCCATCTCCCCCTTTTGACTACAACCCTAATTTGCACTGGGGCTTCATTCCTTCCCCATTTTTGGACTATGTGCTTCTGATGGAGCCCCATTTCCCACTAGTGGATGAAGCATTTGATCAATCAGTGCACTGTAATCTCCTGGCCACAGGATTGCATCTCAGAAAGGCACTTGGGTTGATCGAAGTCAGTGAAATGCAATGATACGCGCTGGGAAGACAGTGCCAGCTGCTCTTGTCTGCTCAACTTGACCCTGAGGATGTAAGGTCTGGAGCTATTGCTACTGCCATTTTAGAACCACATGGAGGGAGCCTGAGACTGGAGCCGATATAGAAAGATGGAAAGAAAGCCACTGAAGCCACTCAGAAAGCCAAGCTAATTCCTGGACAATTCAGTCTATGAATCAACACATCTCCTCTTTGCTTTAAGCCTGTTTGGGTCAGGTTTTCTGTCAGTTGCAACAATTCCTTAAATCATACAATTCTCCTTCCCGTTCAAGGGCAATGAATGCCCTGAGCAGTGCATGTGGGTGGCTAAAATGTTTGGGCTGAACTTTACCAAGTACATTTTGTCATTTAACACTAATATTATGTACATGGAAAGCATCCCAGCCATGAAAAGATGCAGAAGAATGCTAAATGAATATGGTTGGGATTTAGTCTAGATCAGGGTAGGCAAACTACAGCCCATGGACCAAATCTGGCCCACCATGTTTTCATAAAGTTTTATTGGAGCATAGCCATGCTTTGTCTGCAGCTGTTTTGTACTACAGTGGTAAAGCAGAGTTGAGTAGTTGCTTGCAAAGCCTAAAATATTTAGTAATTTGGCCCTTTACAGAGAAAGTTTGCTGCCCCCTGGTGTAAATCGTGGAAGAATAAAATATTAGCAAAATACTTCCCCAAAATGAATACCTGCATCCCCAAATGAAAGCAACACTGAACAGCCCTCCATCATAGACCTCTGTATCCTTGTATTAACATCAAGCCCTATTATCAGCGTTGGGAGAGCAGACTTTCATGGTACCGAACTTATCCCAGACGGTGAACGAGACATCCTATGTCTTTGTTAAGATTTGGTCTCTGCAGTGCCTGTATCTTAGTAGCCCTGGCCACAGAGGGTCTAGGAAGCCTGCAGGCCTAAGAACAGTCATTTCCCACCCCAGCCGTTACCCTTTCCTCTGACTCGGGATGCTGAAGCTACTGGCTATTTCCTGCACGTAGCCCAGTGACCCTCTTCCATAAGGAGGTGGGATCACTGTAAACACGGTGGGAAGAAGAGACAAGTTCTTTTGCTTTCATAATGGAATGTCAGCATTGTTATCGGTACATCTCTGACTTCTGATGCCAATGGATTCCACTTCTACCAACAATATAGTGCACTCAAGAAGTTCCACGTTTAGTTCCTGGCTATCAAGCTCCTGCCAGAAGCACAGCATAATTAATACCGGTGAAATAGCCAGGGTCATGTAAGCAACCACCCTGCCAGGGGTTTCTAAACCCCATCTCTATGCGAAGTTAAATCACCAGGAGGCAACATACCGAAATCTAAGGCTAGTCCTCCATGGTAGGACATCGTGGAACTGTTATTTAATATTATGGCCTCTGCTTTTGTGTGAGGTCTTCCTGAGAAGTGGCTTCATCAAGGACACTCCTGCATTGTCACAACACAGTGGCCAGAATCTAACTAGTGGCTTCTAACTCAGAAACGATACCACGAACAGAGGGCAGTTTAGGAATATTGTTGACTGGTATTTTTATCTCAGGCAAGTAAGTCCATGCTGGCTTATCCACGAGGTCCCCCTTCTGCTCACCGTAGGGTCTGAAAGGCTTCCCGACTTACACAGCATTCAAGGTGGGTCTAAGATAGTTCCAAGGGAGACGTTGGGGCCCATCTGGATATAGAGATCTGTAGTGGACTTACATTTCTTTATTGATAGGGAAATACTTACTTGGGGCAACTTACCTTGAATGCTATGCAAGTGCCTCCGACTTAAGGATCCACGTGATAAATCTGAGAATCTACCTGCAGGACCCACTTTGAATGCTCTTTAAGTTGGGAAAGCCTCCAGACCCAAATGGGAGCAGAGAGAAGTCTCATGGATATGCCAGTGTAAACTCCCCTACCCTTTGGGGCCCACCTCAAATCCTCCCTCCTTGGTATAAAGCCAGTTCAGACTGCAGCAATCCCTTCTGTCTCTTAACCACACCAATTATCACTGCAATTAATCTCGTAATACCTTGAGGCTAGTGGTGTTAGAGGGTCTGGCTTTTTGTTGTAGTGATGGGAAGGGTGCGTTTCAATATGTTGCTTTGTAGCCTGAACTTTTGTTATCCCAGCAAAAAAACAGCATGGGGGCAGGAATTACATTCCAGGATGTGGCTCTGGCTTATGCTCCACCTCTGAGGGTACCCTCTCCTTTCCTGTCAAGGAGGGGCAGGCCACAGAGCACCTGCCTCCTTGGCTTCTCCCTGGGAGAGGGTCTCTGCCCAGACGAGGAACGCCAGGTGACACAGGATTCCAACCTGTCCCTGTGACAGCCGCCCTGCCCCTGGCCAGGACGTCACCCACCCCACCTGCTGCTGAGTGCCTGCGTGAGGGCTCTGGAGCGCAGTCCCTGCTTGTAGCCAGGTGGAGGAGACAGACCCCCAGACCCTGAAACTGTGTGTGGAGTGCTGGGACAAACTGACGTGCTCCGGGGGGCTTTTCCCCTCCTTGTCCTCGACTGGAGAAGGGATGTGAGGGAGGAAGGCAAGTCAGACCTCTTTGTAACTACCGAGCCGCCCGGCCTGCAGTCGCACACGGGAGGAGGCCGGCGACCCACGAGCAAGCTGCCGAACTCCGGACGCTGGGCGTTCGAGCGGAAGGAATTTTCTTGGTACCAGTCACAAATGAGAGACATCATAGAAAAGGTTATTCTTTTACTATTTCAAGGAGGTAATACATAGCCCAACACACCAAAGCACTAGGGAATTAGAGGCAGCAGATGGCCAGAGTTTTTGAGAAGAGCCTTATGCTGCATCTCCAGGCCCCATCTGCCCACAGCCCATGGCTGCTTATGGAAAAGCCAGACCGGCGACTTGGAGCTTGCTGTGACCGTAGCAGTGGACAAGTGAGCCAACTCCTCAAGACCCCACTGACTGAGAAAGGGTTCTTCTGTGAGGGCAGCAGAGGCCCTGCCAGGCTGAACACACCAGGCAGCGCTCAGCCCTGCCCCAGCCAGGTTTATGCGGCTACTGCCTCAGCAGCACCCAGCTCATCTAGCGCTTGGCTTTATTTCTCTGAGCCTGGAGTGGGCAGGATGTGAGTAAATCCTGAGTCAGAAATTAAGGTGAAAGTCTTTCTTAGTAGTGTTAATACTTGGGGTGAGAGAAGACAACACCGTCTTTGAGGAGGGTGGGCTGGGAGTCGGTGGAAGACAGATGGAAACAGACTGGCCACGGGCTGCAGGTGCTGCCTTGCGGTCCTCAGAGGGCCTTTTCGGGGCACCTGGGAGGTTGGGCTGAGTGGCGGGGGGCGCTCTGGGGCCGCTTCCTCTGGCACAGAGTTGAACTAGAGGTTCATTTTCCACTCATGATTGGCTTCCCGGGTCTAAGTCACCACAAGTGGGGCTGAAGCAAATCCTGCCCATGCACCTGCCCAACCTGGCCTTGGAGATGTGTGGTCAGTGCCCAGTGTGGACAGGGAGGGACTCACACCTCCCGAGACCTTTCTCCTCCCACCCTAGCTCCTTCCCCTTGCAAGTAACCAGGCTGGGAGGTGAGCGCCTCGGGCACCTCTGAGTGAAGTGCCACCATGTTTGTTTCCTGGAGAATTCATTTTGGTGGGACCCAAAGCCCCTGCCTAGGCATGGAGCAGACTTATTTCCACCCACGGAGGCCACCTTCCTGGTGACTTAACGGTGGCACAAGGAGGAATCGCAGCAGCAACTCCAGATGCCGTAACACTCATAAACATCATTCACTTCGATGCGACGGTCGCACTGGAGAGCTGCACTGTTCCCCAACCAACCCTGGCCAGGCCAGAGCGGGTTCAGATGCCACGTGGCTGAAGATTTTCAGTTGGACAGGAGTGGAAAGAATTTTTTTAAAACCGCACGACTGTGTTCTCTAAACACAGAGCCATCAGTTTTGTTTTGTTTAACAAGAAAGGACAGAGGACCAAGCTTCACAGCAGCCAAGGCTTATGCAGCACAGAATGCAGTATGTATCGAAATGTATAAACCTTGGTCTGACTGGGGAGGTGGGTGAACACAGAGCTGCGTGACACCATGTCCTCTAGTCGGTGGCAGGCTCTGCTGTTGCCTCATCCTCATGCTCCTCGAAGCCTGGAACTGGCTTCTGCAGAAAGTGCATGGTGGCCTGGATCACCTTATCTGGTCCAATATTGTACACAGGGTGAGTGGGCTGCTGCAAAGAGAAGAACAGATGCCAATTAATCACCCCAGTGGTCCTTGGAAATGTGCACAGCCTCTGCCCATTAAATGCACTTGTAAAAATGTAACATAAGGAATCATCAGAGATGCACTAGGATCTCACAAGGCCCTAATGTTCAACAACAGGGTATTGGTAAAAACATGTTACAGTATGTGGGACACAAAGGAACATTATACAGCCATTAAAAAGCATGCTTTCAAATATTTTACGATATTGGCATATACTTATATCAAGGTGAGGAAAACAGTATGCGTGATATTATCCCAAACTTACTTTTTAAAGTGTTGATAGATGTGATTTATATAAATAGGCAAAAAATGGACATATGCCAAAATAGGAACCGTGACATGACTGTTTTAAATTTTCTTATTTATACTTTTATATATATTCCAATTATTAAAACGATGAACATGCATCTATATTTATAATCAAGAAAATGGACCACAACCCTGTTACACTTAAGTAAAGGTGTCAAGCCATACATAAATTATTTTATATTATCCCACTGCACCACAGAAACCCAAAATAAACTTTGGTCTCAGACAGGGCACAATCCTAGGCCAGTATTCAGGACTCTTCCACCCTGGGACAATGAAGAAGGGGACATAATTGCAAGAGATTTAAAAAATTTTAAGAAAATACTATGAGCAACTTCATGCGAAAACATATAAAAATTCAGGTAAACTGAATAGTTTTATAGAACAATACGAATTTTCAAAATTGCTCAAGAGGAAATTCTTTAAAACCTATATGAATAAGTTAAATCAATAACAATTGTTTTTTCTGCTACCACCATTCCCCCCCAAAAATACCAGGCCTACATGGTTTCTCAAGCAAGTGTTAGCTTACAAGATAATCTCTAACTTATACAAACTTTTCCAAAGAAAAAGTAGAGTAGGAAGACACCTGTCTAATTTTATGAGGTTATATTATCCTGAAACACAAACTGGAAAAGAATACAATAAAACAAAATTTTAGATCAGTCTTTCTCATGAACACACATGCAAAAAATCCTAAATAAAAATACGAGCTAAAAATACCAGCAGAGTGAATCCAGCACGTATTAGAACAGCACATACACCCCCCACACACTATTATCACCAAGCAGGGCTTATCCCGTAACGTCAAGGTCACATCAGAATATGTATTAACAAAACACAACATCAGATTAAAGGAGAAAAGCCAGATGAGGAAAAAGCATTCAATAAAATTTAACACTAGGGCTTCCCTGGTGGCACAGTGGTTGAGAGTCCGCCTGCCGATGCAGGGGACACGGGTTCGTGCCCTGGTCCAGGAAGATCCCACATGCCGCGGAGCAGCTGGGCCCACGAGCCATGGCCGCTGAGCCTGCGTGTCCAGAGCCTGTGCTCCACAACAGGAGAGGCCACAACAGTGAGAGGCCCGCGTACCACAAAAAAAAAAAAAAGAAAAAAAAAAAAAGAAAAAGAAAAGAAAGAAAACTCTTAAGAATCAGGAAGGAAAAAGCAAAACTCCTTACTTGAAGATGACATTACGTTCTAAATAAGAAATCCAAGAGATTCTATAGACAAACTTTTACAACTATCAAGAGAATTCAGAGGGAATTCCCTGGCGGTCCAGTGGTTAGGACTCCACACTTCCACTGCAGGGGGCCGGGTTCAATCCCTGGTCAGGGAACTAAGATCCCGCAAGCTATGCGGAGCAGCCAAAAAAAAAAAAGAATTCAGCAAGGCTGCTGGGTGCAAAATTAAACTATAATTATCAATAGCATTTCTATACATTAGTAACAACCAATTACAAAATAAAATGGAAAAAAATATTCCAGTCACAATAGACACAAAAACTATAAATTTCTTAGACGTAAGTCTAACAGAAGATGTGCTAGTCCTTTATGGAGAAAATGATAAAAGACCATTAAAAGAAATGTAAAAAATCTGAAGAATTGTGTTTATAAATGGGAAACCTGAATGTTAAAGTCAGTTCCCTCCCATTAATCTTACATTCAATGTAATTCTAATAAAAATTCTACTAGTTTTTTTATGTGTGTTACTTGATAAGCTGATCCTAAAATGCACAGGAAATCCTAAAATGCAGAAGGCAAAGAATATCCAAAGCAGTTTTGAAGAAAAAGAATGAGGTGGGCAGGTGAGACTTGCTTGTCTGCATTTAAGATTTGCTTAAGACAGCAAAGATAACAGACCAATGGAACAGTGTGTCCAGAAACAGTCACCTCATATACATAAACTTGAGTATGTGACACATGTGATACACATCAATAGGAAAGGTTGTAAACTTCAAGAAATGGTGCTGGTCAATTGGTTAACCAAAATGGGAAAAAGAAAATTATATCCCACCTTCACTATAGACGGAAATCAATTCCAAGAGAATTAAAAAATTACATGGGATAAGCAAAACTTTAAATTTTTTAGAAGAAAATATATTTATGACCTCAGGGTAGGAAAAGATTTCTTAAGGGTAGGAAAAGATTTAAGTAACCCCCCCCCCCCCAAAAAAAACCCTCAAAAACCGAAAAGGCAAATAAAATTATTCACTTTAGAATTAAAATCTTCTATTCAACAAAAACACTAAAAACAAAGTGAAAAGACAAATCACAAACTGGAAGAGATTCACCACACACACACCATTGACAAAGGATTAGTATCAAGAACACACAAAGAACTCCTACTACATAAGAAAAGAGCAAACAAAATTACAAATCAATATGAAAATGAGCAAAGGACAGGAGCTGGCTGGCAATTCACAGAAGACATAACACAAATGGCCAACAAACGTTTGAAAAGATGCTCAGCCTCACCAGTAATCAGGGAAATGCAGAACAAAACTGAGACACCATTTCACATCTGTCAAGTTGGCAGAAAGGAAAAGTCTGACTATGGAGCAACTCATCTTGGTGCCACGTGAGCGTTAAATAACCCATAGGGGCAAGGTTCAGGGCCATCTGGTGAGGATGAAGGTGTATCTCTCTCAGAAACTGTAACTCGAGAATGTTCACTGCAACACCTTGTGTAATAGCACAATCTGAAACCATCTCAGTGTTAACCAACAGGAGACTAGAAAATTAAACTGGGGTACACTTAGGCAAGGGAATACCGTACAGGAGTGAAGATAACACTTAGACTTAGACAAGGGGATACCGTACAGGAGTGAAGATGACACTTAGACAAGGGGATGCCGTATAGGAGTGAAGATGACACTTAGACAAGGGGATGCCGTACAGGAGTGAAGACGACACTTAGACAAGGGGATGCCGTGCAGGAGTGAAGATGACACTTAGACAAGGAAATACCGTACAGCAGTTAAGATGAATAAACTAGAGCAACACATATGAAGATGACTAAGCCTCAAAAGGGTAATGGTCGGTGAGAAAGTGATACAGAATAAATGGTGGGGTAGATACTGTTATAAAACATTTGAGGGCTTCCCTGGTGGCGCAGTGGTTGAGAGTCTGCCTGCCGATGCAGGGGACACGGGTTCGTGCCCCGGTCCGGGAAGATCCCACATGCCGTGGAGCGGCTGGGCCCGTGAGCCATGGCCGCTGAGCCTGCGCGTCCGGAGCCTGTGCTCTGCAACGGGAGAGGCCACAACAGTGAGAGGCCCGCGTACTGCCAAAAAAAAAAAAAAATAGCATATTTGTTTGCAAAATTAGAAGGAAATTTCCTCAACTTAAAACCAAAAAAAAAAAAAAAAAAAAAAAATTTGAAAACATACAAAACAGCTCTCTATATAGTTCGTGGATACATACCTATGTAGTAATAGCACAAAAACATTTGCAGGCATGATAAATGTCAAATTTAGGATGGGGTTACGCTGAGGAAGGAGGGAGGGAAAAGAATGGAAGAGGGTTGCATAGGAGGCAACTACTTGAAACAGCTGAAGGGTTGTTACTTGGATTTTCTCAATTACTAGTGAGGCTGAGCATCTTTTCATCCACCTACTGGCCATTTGTGTTTCTTCTCTTGGAATATTTCATGACAATCTGCACAGGCCCCATCATCCAACAGCCGCAGACAATCTCAGCGGGAGTTGAGTCTCAGGATCGTGACTACGCTCACAAGCATCCCCTGCGGCCAGGCTGGCCTGGGGCTGGATGCAGTGGTGAACAGCTCACTCGCACGGGGCTGACAGTTTTTGAGGGAAGCAGATAAAACCCAGTTAAACACACGCATGACAAATCGTGCTGGTGCTATGAAGGGCACAAACCAGGCTCTGGCAGAGTGTTTTGGGTCATCTCATTTACAGAAGGTGGTCTGAGAGGACTTCTCCGGAGGGATGGCTGCAAGCTGAGAGCTCCAGAAGACAGTCAGCCACATGGGGAGGGCTGCTGGCTACAGATGCAGAAACTCGCTACCTCTGAACCAGCTTCCTGGGAGATGGGAACTAATGACAAGTGGTCTGTGTCCTAGGCTGTGGGACAAAGGCACAAACCCTCTGTCACAGGTTGGACCCTCGCCTGGAACCTCGAGTTTGCCAGCCAGATGCTCATGAACGGAGAATGAGCTGCAGATAGAGGGTGGGGACGGTGAGTTCACCAGCCTGTCCATGTCCTCATGCAGCCAGTTCTGCAGGCCAAGAGCGGGTGCTCTGCTCTCCTGCCAACCCCATCCTGGGGACCCCGGGGAGAAGCAGTGGTAAGCCCCCCATCCCACCTTACCAGGGCGTTTTCAGGCACACCCAGGACCACATCGTGCAACATGGCTCCACTGCCGAAGTGCTGGGCTATGGATAGGCCGCTCAGGCAGTAGCAGGTGTGGTAGAAGTCCCGGGACCTGGAAGGACGGGGTGACTCTCAGCAGATGTCCTCTGCTCCCCACCGGCCCCAGCACAGCCTCTGACAAGGCCACCGCACAGACGAAGAGGCCCGGGGAGCACTTACGCATCCCATCCCACCCTCCACGAACCTCGAAGCCTGGCTTCCCCCAGCAGCATTTTTCAGAGCCCTATCCTTCCACCTTGCTTGACAGCAGGAACTGTAACCTTACAGTCAGTCCTGTCAGCTGTCTTCCGGAAAGGGCTCTCCAGGGTAGTGCTGGCTAAATTAATATAGTTTAAAAAAAAAAAATCCCACATCAAAATTTCTAGGAATGGGCCAAATTCTTCCTGATAAATTGCTGGGGACTGGCCTTCAGCTGGACCAGGATGCAGAGGTAGCAGGGTGTGTGTGTGCTGGGGGGGTGGGGAGTGAGCAGCAAAGGCAACAGGACTTGACTGGGTTTCCCTTTTGGCACCTAGAGGTATTGAATCTACTCGGTAATAGTTGCCTTGATTATAATCTCTGTTTGTGACACTCAGGAGTTTTAAAATCCTGTATCCTCTTCTATTTAAATCAGTTTGGTTAAATAAGAGGAGGGGCTTCCCTGGTGGCGCAGTGGTTAAGAATCTGCCTGCCAATGCAGGGGACATGGGTTTGAGCCCTGGTCCAGGAAGATCCTATATGCTGCGGAGCAACTAAGCCTGTGCGCCACATCTACTGAGCCTGTGCTCTAGAGCCTGTGAGCCACAACTACTGAGCCTGTGCTCTAGAGCCCGCGAGCCACAACTACTGAGCCTGTGCTCTAGAGCCTGTGAGCCACAACTACTGAGCCTGCATGCCACAAGTACTGAGCCTATGCTCTAGAGCCCATGAGCCACAACTACTGAGCGTGTGTGCCACAACCACTGAGCCTGTGCTCTAGAGCCCCTGAGCCACAGCTACTGAGCCCATGAGCCACAACTACTGAGCCTGTACTCTAGAGCCCGTGAGCCACAACTACTGAAGCCCACGCACCTAGAGCCCGTGCTCTGCAACAAGAGAAGCCACCACACCACAATGAAGGGTAGCCCCCTCTCCACAACTAGAGAAAGCCTGCGCGCAGCAACGAAGACCCAACGCAGCCAAAGATAAATAAATAAAATAAATAAATTTATAAAAAAATAAATAAAAATATGAAAGAGGAAAGAAAAGCTACCAACACAGCAATCTGTTCACCTAACTGGAGAGGGGGTGCAAGTAAGCTGGGTAAAAAGGAGAGCACTGGAGGGGCCAGGATGGATGGATGGCACTGGATGGGGGTGCTCCCAGCTGGGCTGCTTCCTCCCATACCACACGTGCACTAAGCAGCAACAAGGAAAGGCCCTCCCCGTCTGGCTCTGAGTAGGCCTGAGGTACTCACCCCTCTCTCCCCGCCCCGTCCCTCCCTCCCCAGAGGCAAGGCACTCACTTGCCAGGTTTATCCAGAAGCCCCCCGGTGGGGCACTGGCAGCACATAAGAATGTACTCCTGCAGGGCCTGCTGATGAAACATCCAGCGGCTCATGCTGAGGGCAGGGTCACCTAGAGAAGACAAAGGATAAGTGTGGGCTGGAGCCTATGAGAAGTCCAGCAAAGGATCAATGACTTCTTTGTATTTTAGGATCCATTAGGAACTGTCAGGGTTTCCCTCTAGGCTCCTTGGACTAATCTTGAAAACTACATTCTTGGGACACTCGATTTCTTCACCCAAGTCCCGAGACACGTCCTTTCTCCTGAACCTTGAAGAGTCAAAGAGCAGCAGAGTCAGAGCGGCACTTGGCTTTACTTGAAGTGTCCCCTTCCCCTGGATGACCACCCTAAACCACGTCCCTTGCAGGCCATGGACAAACTGTTTAGCAGACTGACCTCTGCTACTGCTCCTGACTCGGTTCACAATTCCTTTCCCTGGGCTTCTTAAGACATTTCCTCCAGTGCATCTCTGAAACTTGTTAACCAGACTCTAATTAGCCAAGAGAACTCTAATGGGGTGATAATGTCTGTTTCTTCTATTGATACTTGTCTTAGCCTGGATTTAGTCTATCTCTAAAGGGACTTCTCCAACTAGCTTTTTGGCTCAAAAAATTTCCCTAAGAAGCATTCTAATAACCACCCTCCTGCATCATATAATATGATAGCCCAAGCAGAAATGGACAATTCTGGTGATAATATTAAAGTACTGCCAATCAGTAGTACTTTAATCAGCAGTCAGAGACTCCTGTGGACCACTCAGTTATCAAGGGTGGAGGAGGGACAAATAATCGATAGATGTGCATGGAAACATTTATGTGGGAATACACACATAGAATGTGCATTAAGTCTCTGGTTAATTTTATACTTTGATACCTGGGCTACAAAGGTAGCAAACAATCTGTAAATGACAACCGAAAGCGAATTTTTCTTCCAGTCTTTTTGTGTTTCTATGCATTTTTCTATACAGGTATGATAATTTTGTATCTTACGTTTTTCATTTAACTGTACAGGCATACATTTTTCTGTTCTGCTACGTAATCTTCATAACCATCATTCTAAAGAGCCATACAGCATTTCATTAAGTGGACACATAAGGTAATGGCATCAATATAGGCTCTGGATCCAAACTCTCATATATATGAGCAGAGAATCTTCTGTGGTAAAAATTCATCAAAGTTTATAGTAAATGTGGTATATAAAGAGAATATGTAGGCAAAATGGTTAATTTTGGAATATTTATATACATAGAATACTGTAGAAAATAATCATTTTTAATTTCTTAAATGAGAGATGGGAGGAGAGATGGGTGCAGTTGGAAAGTGATCGCCGTCTCCTGGGTTGAGCACTGGATGAGGTGCACGGTCAGCTGATGTTTGGGGGCCACATGCAAAAACCACTCATCTTCAACACCCAAGTCCCGCCCTGCCCCTGAGATGCTCACACTAGAAGAGGCACATGGGAACTGAGCCCAAGGAAGGAGGAGCACTTTCAGGTCCCCCTTCTCATGCTCAGCCTGGCATACAGGCTTACTGAAGGAAGTGCTCACACTATTTTAATTACTTTCCTCTTTGTTCTTTCTCCACCTGTGAGCACAGTGGACTCTGTAGGAGATACACACATATATGATGGGACTTCACTCTATCTTGTTTCCAAGGTTGTTTCCAGTTCCTTGCAATCATAAAAAATGCCGCAATGAACATCTTTGTGAATCTTCTCTATGTCTAGGATTATTTTCTTCAAGTAGGTTCACAGGAGTGGAATGATTCAGTTAAAGGGAATAAACATTTTTAAGGCTTTTAGTAGATACTGATAAACTGCTTTAAGACTTTACATAGCTGCCAGCAAAATTTAAGATTTTCCTGTACTACGTCTAGCACTGGTTACTTTGAAAAAAAAGTTCTCAGCAATTAAAATGTTAAAAAGAAACAGTACCTGATCATTTGTTTTGATGTGCATGCCTTTAGTTACTAATTAGGGTGAACTGTTCCCGTAACTTTTGCTTACTAGTTCTATTTCCTTTTGAGAGTGTCTGTCCTTTTGTCTTCTGAGATCCAAGAGTCAGTTTTATTAATCTAGCTTTTTACTATATTTACTCTTTATCTGTATCATATGGTATACCTATTTCTCCCTTTTGGCTCGACTTTTTTGGTTATATGGGTTTTGTTTTAATTGCATAAATATAGTTGGCACATATGCTGTAATCACAGTGTTGATTTTTTCCTTTGTGATTTCTTCTTTTAAGAAGCACATTTAGTGGGTACAGGGATTTGGGCGGGCGGTGATGAAAACTCTAAAATTGATTATAGTGATAGTTGCACAACTCTGAATACACTAAAAACTACTGAACTGTACACTTTAAATGGGTAAATTGTTCAGTATGTGAATTACATCTCAACAAAGCTGTTATTTTTAAAAGCATATTTACTAAACTTTAGGGTAACTGCATTAAACATCCGTACAAAATATACCTTTACTTCATATCCTATAAGAAATAAAAGACTGTTACCTTAAGGTAAATGATAACCTATCGCTAGAATTGGAATCAGAAAAGAAAATGCTATGTTTATTATTAAAAAGATTACAGAGTGTTTCAGTTACCCCCTATGTTATTGAAGTCTAAAGGCTCAAAGTTCATAAACTCAACAAGGAACTTCCTGAGATCTTGAATTTGCACATCAACACACATAATTACGGTGAGATGAAGGGAGATATGATTACAGGCTGATAACTGTGCACTGGAGTCGGCCTTTTAAATCCTTTACATCTCTCCCTTAAAATACAGATCCTCATTATAATGTCATTTTGCATTTCAAAGGTTCCTTTTATCTGAGAAATCAAAAGTTTTTCAAACAGTAACTGACAGGTACAGCCACATGTAGCTCAATTTCACGGGTGGACAAATAAAGCCTGGGGTACATCCCAAAGAACATGGCAGCAACTAGTAACTATCAATCCAAACAGAAACTCACAGGCCTGCTGCTATCCTACTGCTCCACAAAAACAAACTGACTCACTAATTTAGTCAGCATTTGATATTTTAAAGATATTAATAGCAATTTGCTCTTGTACTCAAATACTGTCTTCTATACGTAAGGCAGCCACCGCATGGACTACGGAAGAGATAAGGATTTGGCCTGGGTTCATGTGCTACAGTGTGCCGGTCCCATGTCATCTTTTTAGTTATCAGTATGATCATCATCATCACCTTTTAAAAATGTATTTGTTCACTTACTAAAATAAAAGTAGTAACATACGGTAAAAAGAAAAAAAGGAAAAAAGAAAAAAAAAAGCAGCCTACAGTACAATAGGAAAAGTACATTTCCCTCCCTCCATCTCCTACCCCTCTCCCAAAGGTACCTATTGTTAAAGGGGAGTTGTGTATACTTCCAGGAAAGCTGGGTGGATGCCAGCCTGTGTGCACACAGACAGACTGTTCTCGGCCTGGCCTGGCCTTTGACACTTTCCGTTGTGTCCTAGAGAGCTTTCCAAGTGAGCCCATTGTAATGCAGCTACTGTATGAAGAGATCATAATTTATTTAACTGTTAGCCTTTTGATGGGCAGTTGGGTTGTTTGCTATTAAAACTCCACTTCAACACATCCTTTGCAATGTCTGTGCAGGTAAATTCCTGCCAGTGTCCTCACTGGGTTTAAATAATTTAAACTGATGTCTCCAAACTACCCTCCAAAAAATGACGCACCTATTTACACCCCTCTAACAGTGAAAAGTGCCTGTTTCCCCACACTTTCCCCAACATAGGGTATCAAATTTTCTAATCTCTGCTAATCTGATAGTAAAAACAAATAGGGTCCCACTGCTTTCATTTGCATTTCTTTAACTATCCCCTTTTCGTCTGACTAATGGCCACCTACAGATGGCAGGGCTCTGATACCATGATAGGTGGCAATCAGGTATTATAAAGCAAGTCACTTACCCATGCTGTACTTTGTTTCCTCACCTGTAAAATGGGAATAATGATAGAACCTGTTTCTTTTTCTTTTTCTTTTTCTTTTTTTTTGGCCATGCAGCTTGCGGTATGTCAGTTCCCCGACCAGGGATTGAACCTGGGCCACAGCAGTGAAACCCCGGAATCCTAACTACTAGGCCACCAGGGAATTCCCGGAGAGTATTTGTTTCATAGGGCTGTTTGGAGGATCAAATGAGAAAATACATGTGTAATACTCAGTTCTGCCCCTGGCTTGCGGTGAGCACGTGGTAAGTCTCAGTAGTCGTAGCAGCTGTAGTAGAATCCTCTGCCTGTTTTTCAGCGGGGTCGTTCATGTTTCTTACTGCCTGGTATGACTTTCTCAAATGAAATTAAGCTCTTCATCATTTATCCAAATATTTTTTTCCCCACCTTGCTACTAGTTTTGTTTATAGAATTTCTCTTTTGTAAAATAACTTTTGTTGTTTTCCTTTATGTGAGAAAGATATATTATTGTAGAAAAATTAGAAAATAGAAGTAAAAAAGAAAGAAAACAAACATCACCTGTCATTTCACAACCCAGATACCTTCCATTAATTTTTTGGAGTCAACTCTTCACTGGAAATGGAATTACGTACATACTGCTTTGAAACCTAACTTTGATCACAGTACATTGTGAATATCGTTCTACGTCGCATCTCCTTTTGACTCTCAACGTCAGCATTTTGCTCACCACTCAAAACACTCCCGTCTTCCGGAGCCCTGCCTAGTCCAGGTCCACTGTTTGCTGAGACATGAGCTTTGGGCCTAACATGGGCCTCCTTCCAGGCAGTGAAAAAAGCTGGAAGCACCAAGATTCACAGGCAACTAACTTTTCCCACAGGCAGAGCTTTGAATGTGACTAGTCCTCCAGAACTTGCACTATGATAAACAAAATGTGAACCAGGGCTGCCCTGAAGACTTTGGCAGGTAGCCCTCCTGTTACGCTCTCACTAGATTTTCCTGGCAGCTGCAGAATGACTGCATCTTAATCCTGCCAGGGACAGGTTTGTGAAAGGCTGACGGTGTGACCCAGAGGCTTGACCTCACCAGTTCCAAATAAAGAGATCACTAAAACCCCAAGTTATTTCTGTTTTGAAACGCCGGACTCTCGGGGGACTTCTGACTTCCCTACTAAAGTGTTCAGCCAGAGACCGTGCAGGTTCCAGAGTCAGGGGACGTATCTCAGCTGAGACATACCTTAGCACCCTGAAACTGAAAGCCCGGGGGCTCCAGGCCAAGGACTCCCTGGACAGACCGCGACAGGGAGGATAGAGCGATGGGGAGACAGGACAGAGGCTCTGCTGACTTCAATTCGGTACCCAAAGTGGCCACAACTTAAATGAAATTAAGAAATGAAAGAAAGGGGCTCAGAAAAAAACAGCCAAACAAGAAGAAAACGTGTGTGGGGCAGGGCGGGGGATGGGGGCAGTAGAAAAGAATCTCATCTTCTGCATTTGAGCAATGAATAATCCAATTACTAAGTCCAAAGAAAAGCTTCCCTCTGGGCCAAGGGATCTCACTCCAAGACCAGATCTGCGCCCAGCAGGGCCTCCAGACCTCCCCTCTCCCACTGGTTTCCTCAAGACATCCTGTTCTCACATAAAATAAATGAAAAAGATGATTCCGGAGGCAGCCAGTGGCCTGAGATGTCGAGAGGTAACAAGGGAAGGCTCCCAGAAGTTTGCTCTCTATCTCACTGCTTGGATCTGCATTCCCATCTGAGGCTCCATAGAGGTGAACCCAGGTCTCTCCGCTCCAGTGGTGCAGGGCACGGGGGACAAACCCGCATCCAGGATTCTTCAATGAATCTAAAATACAACACTTCTAATGGCGGCAACCACGCAGCCAGCCAGGCATGGTGGGTCTTTGCTCCAGGGGTTCTGGTTCTCTGCCTGCTTGCGCAACTGCCTTTCTGTCACTGCTGTGACCACGTGCATAGTGTGGGTTTTCAGTTCTGACGTGACACATAGAGAGTTCTGCACTGGAAAGTGCGGCTTCACATGGAGTTGAGGTGGTGGTCACCGTGGAGCCAGGCACCTGCCTCCCCCTAGCCACAGCCAGAGTGAAGCAGCAGTGGCCCCTAAACCAATGGGACAGAATCCTAGCCTGAGGCGGGAAGGTCCAAACTGGGCATCTCAAAATCCAGGACAGACAGCCTATTTCAACCCCTCTAACAGAGCGCCCTGGCCTCCGACTCGGTCAGCAGCTGAAGGGAGTCACCCAACCCTGCGTACAGCCCCTGGGCTCACCTTGGGCGTGCAGTGCACGGTGGAGCAGAGGCAGGAGCCCCGCCTGCCAGAAGGAGTAGCAGCCGTCCACCAGCTTGTTACAGCGGCCCTGAAATCCACCTTCAAACCGCATCTGCCGGCTTGTCACCCATTGCTGAGCGTGAGACAGAGAAGGGAGAGGCAGCTGTAGGTTAAAAGAGACACGAAATCCAGCAAGCCCAGATCCCCAGAGGCCAATCTGGGAGGAAGGGGTCCCGTCTCTTGGCTTCCTGGCACCCAAGTTATGGTGCTTTGGCCTCGGACCTCCTCACCCTCACTGCCACAGGCTACACTACAGTGCAACATCTAGTCTAACCCTCTTGAGGCAACCAGCATGAATCTCTGCTCAGGGCCTAACAGACAACTAACCACCTTTTCCCGGGTTCCAAGTGGGTTCTGGTGCTGAGAGAACAAGTGCACCAAACTGGCCTGAAAGCATCTCTCTTTTTTTTTTGTGGTACGCGGGCCTCTCACTGTTGTGGCCTCTCCCGTTGCGGAGCACAGGCTCTGGACGCGCAGGCTCAGCAGCCATGGCTCACGGGCACAGCTGCTCCGCGGCATGTGGGATCTTCCCGGACCGGGGCACGAACCCGTGTCCCCTGCATCGGCAGGCAGACTCTCAACCACTGCGCCACCAGGGAAGCCCAAGCATCTCTTAATAAATAAGGTGTAACTAGGAAGTTTAAGGCCAGACCACCAGTGGCTCATTTCTATTCACTTTCCCTGCTCGGGGAAGTTTATTAAAAGCAGATAAATGGAATTTTGTGCTACAAGTCATCAGATGATCTCAAACTACTCTTGAATTTTACTTGGCACCTGAGGAAACTCATCCAAGATTTCTTAGCATGGCCCTTGTCCCTCACAGGACTGGGGGCAGAAGCCATTAACCCTGGTGAACGAGAATGGCTCTGTGTGGTCTAGCCTCTCTGCTATCCCAGGAGAAACTGGCTGGCTGACAGAAGAAAAGAGTTTACTTTGAACCTGTAAGATGGCTCTTGGTGTCACTCGGTGGTCACACATGATGCATACTTATCTCCAAGTTTTCTAAACACACTCTACTATGAATATGGAGATAGTGAAGGGTTTGGCCTCGAGGAATGAGTAGAACCAACTGGCCGAGCAGATAATATCTCCACTTCCCTCCCAGCCCCCCAAGGCAGTTCCAGTCACCTGCCAGCGACTCACGGAGCAGCCTCACCAAACTGAAAGGTACAGAGTACGGTATTTCCCCTGTACCTACGTTCTTACTAGACTGAGTTCCTGAAAGGAGTCACTAAGGACCCTCTTCAGAAGGAGTCCAGCCCTCCTTTAATTAATAATTGTAGACTTTAGATTATATCCCTGTTCAAAGTAACACCCACCCATAGAGAGTCACAATCCAAAATTCTTAAAAAGACACAGAAAAACTGCACTGCAGGTGCAGGCACTAACATATCCCCAGTCAGTCTTAAATGAACCAGCGCTTTAGGATTGATGCCATTTAATGAAAGCAGGAGAAGCATTACTCAAGAAAACAGGCACTACAGTAGGGAGTCCATTCTTCACTTTTACTTACCCCACAGATTAAGTGTTTCTAACCTAGACTAATTATTTTTTTCCAGTGCCTAAGTCCATGAATTTATTCTGTTTCCCTTGCCTATATGAATTCATAAAATCCTTCAAATATGGGTCCTAGTTCTCCCAGAGCAAACAGAGGGGAGTAGTTTGGATAAGAAGGTCGCACCTACTATGTACCAGGCTGTTTACACCTGTTCTCTCCTTTGACCTTCAAGGAACTGTTATTTCTACCTTACAGAGGAAAAAAATTGAAGTTAAAAGAGATTAGACCATTTTCCCAAGGTCATATGGCTGTGAAGTGGCACAGACAGGGTTCAAATCCAGAACACTGTTATTGTAACTGAGGCATCTGCTTATTCCTTATTTCTGCCTGGGAAATGGAGCTTTTATGTTTCACGCCTTGTTGGTGATTAGTTTTCAAAATGTCTGATAAACTCGAAGTCTGTGCACAAAGTTGGCCATTTTGGCATAAACCTTCAAGGCTGTAAGAACCTTCAGGAAGAGTATGCTATAGGAGGCTTCCTAAAGGTGAGGACAAAATGCTGCTGGTCATATCTTATAGAGTATAATAGAAACTGTCTTGGAAGCTCAAGATGGGTCTCACAATGGTTCCTATGATGGGAACCTGACATCTGAACTTGGGGAGAGGAGATGAATATCAGTTGCAGCTGGTTTGCTTTGAGGTCACGGTGAGGGAATAAATGCTTCCCCAAAGATAGCTCCTTCGTGGCTGTGTGTGTGTGTGTGTGTGTGTGTGTGTGTGTGTGTGTGTGTTTATGTACTAGGCCTCCAATGATAATTTAGCTATAATCTAACAAGTCCCTGAAGCTGACTGTGCTCTGAGTTCATTCTGAATATTGGGCAGGAGCTTGGAGTTGAGACATAAATGCCTGGGCCACCTGCTCTGTGCATATCACCCGGCTGTGCCTAGCTCATGTAAAGGTAGTTACTAAACGTTCACATAGTGCAGCAGGTAATAAAAGCTCGGCTTCAAAATGCCTCAAAACTCTTCTCATAACTTCTTCTCCCAGGAGAATCTTTCTAAGACACATGATATCCTCTAATTTTAAGAGGCTGAAGCTATACTTCTCTTTGAAGTAGGAGGAAGGTACTGTGGCCCATACCAGATGTCTGAGGGATTCTAGAAGCCTCTGGAATTGGCCTAACACACTGTACAGAAAGTTCAGAGCAGGAAGATGGAAAGGCAGGAAGAAGGGAACTGAAACCGAGCACAGATGCTCACCCCTTGCACTTTCTTGGTACAGTGCTGAGCACTCCAACAACTGCATCTGAAGCTTCGTTACAGGACTGTTAGTTCACAGCTCCAGGCAGGAACTGTTAGCCCTTCCCACAGCCAACCGTCCCTTAAGCCGGCATGCCTGAGCAGTCACATCTCAGGGGCCTGGGGCCTGAGAGGAAGACGGATCACCAAGTACTTACTAATAAGCTCTTCAAGTTCAAGAAGCGTTCCTTCTTGAGGATGACCAGTGCAGCCAGGCCACAGAAAGTATAGCCACCGTGGGCTTCCATCCCTGGCACCCCGCCAATTCCACCTTCCCAGTTCTGACACCTGGAATGAGATTGAGAAAAGCAGACTGAGTGTCAACCAATGAGCACAAGTGCAGGACCACCCTGGATGGCAAAGGATGAGTTTGCTTAGTTTAATGCAACTATATTCAATAGCTGTAACTATACTCAATAGCTGTAACTATATTCAATATCTTGTAATAAACTATAATGGAAAAGAATATGAAAAAGAATATATATATAAAACTGAATCACTTTGTTGTACACCAGAAACTAACACAACATTATAAATCAACTATACTTCTATTTAAAAAACAAACAACATTGCAACTATGAATGGAAAGATGCTAATTAACTTTTAGAAATGCCTTTTCCTCAAAAAAAAAAAAAAAAAAAGGAAACTCAGACATAGTCTACTAATGTAACAAACATAGTACCTCAAATCATTACTTTTTGGAAGAAGTTATAAAATCATATGTATAGTGTGATAACTGTCAGGTTAAAATAAAATTGAAAAATAACTGCTAATTCTGGTTATCTTTTAGTACAGGTCTATTGCTGATATTTTTCCTCTTTATTCTTCTGTATTTTCAAAAAGTTTCTATAGTGAAAATACATACCTTTATAACCACTCAAAGTAAACTTATTTTTTTAATTACAATTTCCTACATTTTCAAATTACTTTATTATCATAATAGTTATTTGGGATTAGACTATATACTTAAGAGCGTATTTTCTAGTCATAAAAACATGAGTAATCTTTGGCTCAGCAATATAGGGTCATTTCTAGGAATTAATCTTATAAAGTAAGTAAGAAATGTGTTCAAAAATCAGATTGTAAGAATGTTTACTATATTCCCATTTATAACAGTGATATATTAGAAACAACTCAGAAGCTCAACAGTAAGGGACTCGTTATATAAATTATGGTATGTCCGTATAACAGAATACTACAGTCATTTAAAATAATGCTACAGAAGTATACTTAAAAATGTTCCAAATACATTACATGAAAAAGTTATAAAATGATAATATACTGCATGATTTTTCTGGAATTCTGGAAACATATACAGCAAATGAGTGGTTAGTGGTGGATTACAAGCAGTTAGATTTTCTTTTTGCTTGTTTATATAATAAACATGTTTTATCTGTGAAATAAGAGATTTTCTTTTCAGTATATTTTCATATAACATAGAACTTTACTTCCAATGATCTACAGGTATGTACAGAGTCACACTCCCTACAGGTGTGTCTGCCTCACAAATCCTGACAGGTGCACAGGTGGATGAGCACTTAATCCAACTTCCGGGTAGAAGAGAAAGAAACCGGTAACACCTCCTGTCTTCCAGGCACCTCTCGTTAAAGGAGAGGCCTTGGGAACTCAGAGGCCCTTTTCAGAGAGGCCCAAGGCCCAGGGAGATCACAGCAGAGTGCAGAGTCAAGAACTGGCTACCATCCCCTGAACAGATTCTGCAGCATCCTCTATCCCCTAACCCCACCACCACCCAAAGACACACAATCCAAGTTTTCTTTCCAGTGCATTTGGCTTCATGGCGCACAGGAACAGCTCAAGTTTGAAAGGTCTGATGAGTGAAGAACATGCAAAGGACCTCTGAATTTTTTTTTTCTTAACTTACCTCTAAAAATGTTTTTTTAGTTAAAAAAAAAAAAACAGTATAAAAGAATAAACAATAAAAAGTTACAACTCCTGCTGAGCCTGGCCTCCTAGTTCCTCTCACCAGCTGAGTTTCTATGTCTCAGTCCCTCTTTCTCTCCACACATACACGCATGCACACACACAATATACATTTATTTACATATTCCACTTTCCATCCCTGTTTTTACATGCATGAGAGCAATTTAGTAAAATTCTTTGGGAGTATCTTCTAGTTAAATATAACTGATTGAACACAAGAGTCCAGTAAAATGAAAGTAAAGGAATTTTAAAAAAGGATAAACCCACAAGGGTAAAGAGAATAGGAGAGGATATAAGTACAGACAGGAGATAACAAAATTGTGAAAGCTGGAAAAGGAGAGAGGTAAGACGTAACTGACTTAACAGAACCGACAAACCTACACCAGCCCTGGGAGGAAGGGAGGGAAGAAGAAATAGAAAGCAAGGTGATATGTTCCGATGACAAGCCGGGGGACACAAGGTACCCCTAAAGTGGGATGAGTTTGAACCAAGTTGACTAGTGGTAAATTTATAAGAGAATCAGTTATACCTCCAGGTACCCAGCAGAAGATGGGAGGTTTCAGGGGCTGAATGAAGAGGAACTGAATTCCAGGATTTCCAGCACAGCTGAGAGCAGGTGGAGGCACTGTACTGAGCAGGGGGATTAAGCGAGTCTAAGATCCGAGCACAAGCACCCTCAACCCCTTTCCCTATTAGTATTTCAAAAAGCTGGCCGCTAACTTCATACCCCAACCAGGAATCTGGAAGATTCTTCTCTAGGGAAATGGATAAGCCCAAGGGAAAAACCCTACAGATATTGATATATGAGAATTCCCCCATGAATGGCTGCATCCCAGCCCACAGTGGCACACACAGTTTTTTTAGCACCTGACACTTAAATATGAACACCAGACATTTGAGCAAAGTCTCTTACGTGAAAGAGACTTTTATGTAAAACATGAAACAAAAATAAGACAAATAAACAAAAATAAATTGGAGGAAATAATGTAGGGAGCAGAAGTAAACTTTAAGTTATATCTTTAGATAAAATATATACAAAATAAAAACACTGCAAGGACAAATATCCCTGAAACAAGAACAGGAGAGAATATAAAAAGGAAGTATTCTTTATAAATGGAGATTAAAAGTTAAAATAGAGCTGCAGAAATAAAAACTCAACAGAGGGATTAGAAGATAAAAGGTAAGGGAATCTCTTAGAAAGCACAATAAGAAAGATGAAGAAATGAAAGATAGGCAAAAAATTTTTGAAAAATTGGAAGACCAATTCCACTTATTGGATGTTATAAAAAGAGCAAACAAAGAAAATGGAGGGGAAGAAGTTATCAAAGAAATAATAAAGTTTCTTGGAGGTAAAGCACATCCAATTCTAGACTGAAGATAACTGCTGAGTGCCCAGCACAATGAATGCAAAAAGAAATCCATATCATGGTTCATCATGGTTCATCAAGAATTTTTCAAACAGCAAGAATAAGAGAAACAAAACAAAAACAACAATGGATTGGGAATACAGTAGATTGGGAGGCAGTAAAGCACAGTGGTTACCCTAACAGGTTTTTTTGGTCACTTAATTTCTTTGTATTTTAGCTTAATGTCAAATTCAATATCCCATCATTTGCTACATAGGGAAACTATGACATGGAGAAGTTAAACAATTTACCCAAGGCACAAAGCTAATAAATGACAAAACTGGGCTTCAAACCCAGGCAGTCAGAATTTCACATCTAGTTAAGTGCCTAACAAACCAATCCTGCAAATAACTATATACCCTGGACAAAACACACTAAAACAACTTTCTGAGGGCTCAGCAAACTAAAAAAAGCTGGGGATTTGAAAGTTGGAGCAGTCAGTCCCTCCCCTCCCCCACCCTATTGTTTTTCTTCCTGATTTGCCCTGAGGATGGCTACAGTCACCTAACAGTGGCAGCAGCAGGTCAGGGGGAGGCAGCTGAAGCTAACAGAAGGCCCACCATGTTTCTGGCAAGAAGAACCAGGCTGACAGTAATTGAGGAGGAATCCCAGAAAGAGGAGAGCCAGAGAAGGAAAACCCAAATTCCATGTTTAAACTTTGCTTAAAATTTTACCTGACCCTGAATCACACATGCATTGGGCAAACTGAAAGCAGCTTCTGACCAAGAACTGATCCAAGACCTGAGCCCCTGCCCACTGCAGGTGTGTCTAACCAAGTTGATTGCCTGCTAAAGGAAAAATATCAACACTCTTTAAAGCAATCTAACAGAATCCAATCTCTGCAATATAACATCACAATGTCCAGGGTACAGTCCAAATATTACTTGACATAGACACTCAGGCAAGTGAGACATGTCAACTCCAAGACAGCCAGATGTTGAAATGACCAGGCAAGAATTTTAAAGTAGATATTATAATTTTATATTTACCTCAGTGAAGTGAAGAAAAATACACTTGTAATGAATGAAAAGATGGGAAATCTCAACTGAGAAAAACAGAAAGTATAAAAAAGAACCAAACCCAGGTAGTCCAGATCAAAAGGCTATATACTCTCAATCTTTAAACTATCGCTCTCTTACTATTGAGTATTACATACCAAATCCTCAGTAAATGCTGGTTACCATTATTATCAGCCTAACAATGACACTGGTAGCCAGAAGATAATGGAGCAATGCTTAAAAATTCTGAAGGAATACAATTTATCCAGTTTCCAATTTAGAAGTCTCTAACCAAATAAACTATAAATCAAGTGTGAGACTAGAATAAAAATACATGCCAAATCTTTAAAATGTACCTCCGAAGTTCTCTTATTGGGGATCTGTTGGAATACGATATGTGTTTCATTAAAATGAGTGAGTAAACCAGGAAAAAGGAGGATGGGGCTTTAACAAAGCAGAGAAGTGAAGTGAATTTCCTGCT